ACTGTGGATACACATGGACTCAATCAGTCACAGAAAGCATATGCCACACAATAAACAGGAATTTTAATTAAAAACTGATGTCTTATGTCTGCTGTCGCACCAGTAAACGACTGTTGCAGAGCTGTGCAAAAACAAAAACAAAACGGAATACAAACTAAATAAAAAAAGCAAACAACGCTGATGAACCTGGATTGTCATAACCTTTCCTTCAACTCGGGGGCAAAATCTTCAACTATCAGACTCCCCCATCCTACAATGCACCCCACCCAGCTCCAACCACTGATCGCCTTAGGCACCCAAACACGTGCAACAAAGAATTCCCTCGTTTCCTCTGAGACTGGAATTTGACCACTGCACTCAGCTGAGTAGAGATCAACCCTGCAAAGGTTCACAATAAGAAATAAGACACAGTTGAGTTGAATCTCCACGTCCCCCTCCCTTTTTCTCCTCAGTATAATCACGCATTCAGCTGCCCTGTCAGCTGACATAACCGTGTTTTGCCCAGATTGAATTAGTGTCACTGAATGACGCTCATGTGCTGGCTTATTTGCTGCCACTGACAACAGCAACATACTCTGAGCACTAAGTGTCAGCCTACATAACTTTATGCAACACTGTCTTTACACTTTAACGCTGGTATTACATTTCACAAGTTGCATGCCTAGAATGCATGGAGGCGTAGGTTATCTATGACCCTCGAACGCTTTCTATTAAAGTCCCTGCCAGCCTCACTCAGACAGGTGTAGCGTCAAATATGCCCTCCGGTTTCGAAATTTCCCCGTGAGGAGGGGTGTGCAATGGTAACCTCAAGTGCATCCAGCCATGATGGTTACTGCCCAGAAAAATCCAGTCTATCTTACTGTGCTGTATCAGGCACGGACCATAAACCTCAGCTTTACAATCACGTTTATAACTCTTCCATTCTGACTAGAACATTCTCTTTCTCCTTGCGTAAGCACTGCTGTATATCCATGCTGCATTGGCTTTTTTCCTGGGTAAAGGACTGTGGAATCTTCAGTGTTAGGAAAGAGGAGGTTATCAGTCAAACACTGATAGTTACAGAACTCTGAGAATGAAGTCTTCCTTCTATGCACCACCTTTAAACCAGTGCCTGTGTGTGCGGATATGTTTGTACTACATCTAAAATATGGCCAACGTCATAAAAATAAGTATTAATTTTAACTTATACAAGATAGTGCAGCACAAAAACACAAATGCACAGACAAAAGCTTGAGCTGATGTGAGCTTTTGATACAAGACCTTTGCATGCAATAGGAATTTGTAGACAGCAACAGTTCCTGCACACTGTGCTTCCGTATGAGGACAGTCTGGTGTGTGTCTGCAGCTACACAGCATGTAACAGACTGATGTTAGGCAAGAAAAGAAACAGAGGCTTGTTTCTGCATTCCTGAGTCCTCATACCACGGTCTCCTCAGACTGAACTGGCTTTAGATGTTTGAAAAAGAGAAGCAGTAAAAAGTGGGTGTGTGGGTCATACTACTCTGATTATTAGTAAGCGTGTGTAATAAAACTGTGTACACTCCTAGTTAGGCTAATATAACACAATTACAAAACGCTCTGAATGTCACGTGGAGCCCCATTCAGGTCTACACAAACACAGAAATTGGCATAATGCACACATAAATAAGCACTTTCACTAGGGGAACCTCACTGTAACCTTTCATGTTGCAGTTTTAATCCAGTTTCGAATCACATAATCCTATTGCACAAATCACAGTAAAACCATTAGTTTGACCACTGGTGGTATGCTCAGAGAGAGCAGTGAATATTTAACCAGGGTGTGGGATTTCAGCTTATCTCTTAAACTAGAGGCCAGCATAGGAAGAATGCAGGTCCAGTATCTACAAAATGTGGTCAAAGCTTACATTTTAAACCGTAGAGAACACCGGCTTCAAGTGGACAATAATTGCCATGGAGAAACAGACGTGAGAGTGCGCTCAAATGATCGCTCAAGCAAGCAAGCAAGCCTCGGTGTACTAAAACACAGGCCTCTACCTGTGATCTTAATAACAGCCTCATTACAAGTTAATGTTTACCTTTTTATCTCAGAGGAACATAGATCATAGAAGTTCTACTCTGTCGAGAAGCAACTCTCTTCCAAGAGCACTGATTTATAAAAAGATGCCCATCTGATGTTGAACAGGTGCTAAGCTCATTCTGCTTTCTATTTGTGCATTAGACAGCAGCAGAGTAATGTTCGCTCCTCATACCAGCGTAAATACTTACTGTGATGACAGCCTTGCTGAGGCACAGAGACCCCCTGCAGCCGTACTCCCGCTCATCCTCCGACTTGTAGTAGCTCAAAGTATTGTTTTTCAACACGACCCATCGGTCCTGCCACCCGTGGATGTAATTTGTCCACTGTGAACACACAGGAGATGCAGCACACAGTTAGCCACACACTGCAATCAACAGATAATACTGATGTCTATGCAAGGATTAATACTGCTAATGTAGCTCATTAGTCATGTGCACCTACTTTCTGACAGGCAGAGCTATTAAAACTGAGCTAAAAGTGATTTCTGCAGCACAACACACTGACATACAAACTGATGGCTGTGCAGATTCTCACTCACGCAAGCTTTGCTAATCTAAAAGCGTCAGTAAAAAGCAACTGGACTTCTCTTTTTTGGCTCTTGGAGATGTTTCACCTCTCATGCAAGAGACTTCTTCAGTTCAGCTGCTGTTTACAGAAGCTGTTAGGATCCACAGTGATTCACCTAAAGTTACCTTGCTCAAAACGCCTCCAAACTCCACAGGCTGTCCGGATTCCGGGTCCACATCCTCGTCCGAACCCGACGATGAACTCTTTTCGGACATTTAATTTTAAGTTTCAGTGGAAACTTGAATCAGATTTGTATCGAGAGAAGCACGTAGCTTAACGCTAGCTGCTAGATTAGTTATCGGTTCAAACGCGTCACGGCCAAACCTGCTGACAGCTTCTTCAACTTAGCCTCAACGTCGGCAAAACAATGTTAATTAGGCATTAACTGGACGCACAAAACATCGGCTGGACGGCGGTGTTTATCTCGGGTCGTCTGACACACTTAAACCGAGCTAGCCCGTCTGTTAACAAGCAATTCTGGAGGTGACAGCTGCCCTTCAATTCCTCGCTTTTGCGGGCTTTGTTTTGAAACTGACGTCGAATACCAATGAGACGAGCTAACTTAGTTAGCGTTAGCTGTCAAACGACGCAACTAGCTAGCTTGAACTTAACCAGCAACTTGTGACTGCTCTCGTCCGCTGTCCGGGCTGCGGTCGGTAACCGGAGAGAGAGCCGTGTGGAAGGCCTTCGTTTTATCGCTTACACCTCAACTTCGTGGTACAAATGACGAGCAACGGAGTCGCCGCTGTAGTTCCGCAGCTCAGTTAGCAGTAGTGGACGGCTGACTAGCTTGTCTTGATTCGGGTCGGGGGGAGGAGCCCCGCAGCCACGCTTTACTGTGTACCTGCTGCGTGCTGGAGCGTCAAGCTGCACAGCTCCACACACACACACAGCCGCTGTAAAATTAAAAGCAGGCAACGTTAAAAGTAGGAAATGCACTGGGGCAGACGTCGCATCAAGTCAATTAAATGCTTTAATCTGGAAATATGCTTATTTTAAGACGTTTTATTTGTCTGAAATGACACAAATCGTGCCACGCGGGTTGTCCGCTGAATGTACTTTGCACATACAGACTTTGCAAGTAAAATATAGGTGTCGTGCCTCTGTGGGAACAATTACATGTCTGTGCATTAGTTTCCTTGCTCCGTGTCGTTAAATATAGCCAATCCAGTTGTTTTTACTCGTTTTAAAAGCTTCAAAGGTTTGTCTCAGCTCATATAATGCAGTTTTACACTTGTCAAAAGGTGATCCAGCCCCTGCATTGCGACTGAAATGTTATTAATGCATCCAAATAACTTGGTTTTATGTATGAGGGTCATATTTTCTACAATAAGATCGCACCCTTCATGTTAAATCTGTATTGTCCAGTTTATTTGCGTCTGTTTTTATCTTGATCAGTGATAATCTGAGGTTAAACACAACTTTATATCTGTGGTGAAGGCAAATGTGTGTTTGTCAAACTTTAAAGTTTGTAGTAATTGATAAATTATGACCAAACGAAATGTTTGCACTTAATATCAGGATTGATTATAAGCAGTACTATAGTATTGTCTTTGTTGTTTTTGTATTAACATATTCAGTATCATTGGTTAGACTGTAATTAAAATGATTTACGGATGGATTTTGTGCATAACTAAGAAATTATCTCTTTTCCAGTTATCATATGGAACATAATCTTTAACATTAACCCTCATGAATGAAACCAACTCACATGATGCATTAATAAAGAAGGCTGCAATCTGTTTAGCAAGTAGAAAGCTGCATTGTGAGTTGAACTGGCCCTTTAAAGCCGTTTAAACCAGTTAAAGCTACTGGACTGGTTATTATCTAGCTGGTAAAATATTGCAGAGACATGAAGATTGTTCCTGCAGAAGGGTTTTGGCAGATGATCACTTTTTGGCACAAGACCTGTTCTACGGGTTTTTATTTTGGCTGACAGCTTGGATATTGCGAAGGTCTGAAATGCTCTGACTGGTGTGCTGAGGGTGAACAACTGAATCCTGTATGGTTTTAAGTAAAGTCTACCTTTATTCTTTGAGGGTTTTTTTTTGCAGAGATCTTTCAGATCAGCACGCCACAAACTATGCCAAAGGTTACATTACGCAGCATTTTTTTGCGCTTAGTTTTCTTCCGTGCGCCACTTTTCTCGGTGGATTTCGTGTACTTGAGACACGCCGATAGAACGTCACTCTGAAGTCCAATACGTCAACTCATATCAGAGGAAAAACACATGCTTTTCAAGACATAAATATCGGAAGTTTAACAGACGAAGTCATCACCGCCTGCAGGTTTAAGGGAAACCGTTCATGTAGCTCCGCCCCTTCACCGATGACGTACCGCGGAAGTGCCGCCAAAACCTCCCTCGTCACTTTTTCAAAACATGTAGGGACATGATCGTTAGACAGCTGAGCAGTTTGATTCACTGAGGTGTTGCTATTTAGGAGGGGGGAGCCACATTTCTCAGATACGGTTGGTTGTCTGGTGTAGCTCGAAAAGGGGCACACATAATGGGACACACAGCTGCGGTATGTTAGCGCTGTATCGACTAAGTTTAGAGTAGAGTCGAGATCGTTACACCTTGGGCCACACTGCCCCAGAACAAACGACCGTTTTCCCATCAAGGATCAGTTCTTTGCGATGGAGAATGGAGCTGGATCCACCAAAGAAGAGGGCTTCCTTTCCAGGATGGCGCTCAATGACAACAAGGCTGGTATGGAGGGTCTCGACAGGGACAAAATCAACAAGATCATCATGGAGTCTTCCAAGGTACACAACTCACAATTCATTTTTAAACAATGGATCCATCTTCACACACATAAACACGCTTGGTCTTCTACACAAAATTGCCTCTGAGATGATGTGAATGGTTCACCTGTGCAACCAGAACAAAAGAATGTGTATAAAAGTATAAATCCAGCTACAGTTTGCTGTGGACAGTAGAAACTGTGACACACACTTTTGCAGACTCTGTGTAATGACATACAGTCCACAAAAATAGATGTGCTATTGCAGCTTTTCATTACAGCTGTGCTACAGAGTTTATATAACTCTTCATTGTCCTTGTCCTTCCCCTGCAGGGATCCAAGTTTTATGAGAATGAGCTGAAGAGAGAGCAGCAGGTGAACCGGCGCATTGAGAAGATGATGCTACAAAAGGCACAGATCACAGAGCAACAGTTAAAGAAAGCACAAGTTCAGGTAAGACGTATTACGGACTTGCCTGGTTAAAGTTGGCATTAGTTTCTTTGAAGGTGTTCTTCACATGCAGACACATATGATGACATGTATGAAATCACATTGTAAACATGTTGCTTAACGGTTTTTCATTGAATCTCTCTGTGTAGGTGGAGAGGATGGCCTCAGTGCTGGAGAGGAGCCGCGATCTAAGCCGTGTGATTGTACATGTGGACATGGATGCCTTCTACGCTGCCGTGGAGATGAGAGACTGTCCTGAGCTGAAGGACAAGCCCATGGCTGTAGGGTGCATGAGTATGCTGGTGAGTTAAAGATCCCTTTTGCTTTGCTTGCACATTCTTCTATTCTTTTATTTTTGTATTCTAGAAAGCATATCATGAGCAAAATACGCAGTCAAATGCCATGTCTGAGTATTTTCACCCTGAAACTGCAATGTAGCGATGACATCTAAGATATTTTAAAGTAGAAAGAGATTATTTTCTTTGCAAATATGTTTAAATATGTAACTTTGATACACAGAGATGAGTTTTTAGGGACTGTAAAATAGTGGCCAAAGAAATTTGACACACTTATCACAGAAATTTCAAGGATCGTTTATGATGAAGGCAACAGATACAGAACAGACTGTGCTGAGTAGCTCAAATTTATTTGAACACAGACGGGTCAGTGTAGTTCACTCACAGAGTACTACATTCTGACATGTGATTAATTTAAAATATTTTAATCACAGCTTGTCAAATAATAGCACATTAACAGAACACAACTAAATGCGACATAACTAAAATATTAATGGCAGTGGCAATTTAATTTTTATAGCACATTTAATTCCACTTAAACTCATTCTGCTTTACACTGAAAGACAAAAATGTCAGAATATAGGCATAAATGTGAGAAAATGGGCAACATAGAC